ATGTCTTTTCCTTCTGTGATTAAGGTGCTTCATTTTTATTCTGCTCCAGGGAGTTCTGTTGGAGCTGTTGTTATTCCCACTGCTGTGACAACACTCTTAGTTATGACAGAATCCCACTGCATGGGGTAAATGTAGTCACATGCACTGACCAAACTCACCTAAATAATAGTCTAGTGTCATAGTCAGAAGAAGCATATCTCCATTTCCTTCAGAACTTTTATGCCACGGTGGATTTGAGAAGAAATAGTACTTGCTCATAATGTAGAATACAAAAATTTCTTAAATTTTGTACATTTCTTAAATGTACATAGAAACATACAAGAAAAAAAACTCACTTCTTTTTCTTCACTCACTACCTTTTTTTACACAAAATGTTATTATTTGTGTATGTATCCTTTCAGAGATTCTGTAACATCTATGGATAGACTCATAATGAACATAATTTTGTTCTTTATTTACACAAATCGTGTAATAAGCCTTTAAGATTTTTTTTCTTTTCTTATCTAATTGTATTTTTGGTAAAGATATGCACAGCAAGTCCTGCTCTCCTTCTACTCTGTTTCTAGACATAATGATCAGTGATATTGGTTACATTTGTCACATTGTGTTAACATTCTCACAATTTCTGTTCTGGTAGTTTCACTTCCACTTATTTAATCTCCCTGCCCTTCCACTGACCAGTAGTGGTTGACTCTACTCAAGGGCAACAGTCTTTATTCTTTGGGCAGAATGGTTACTTTAAAGGTGACTTCAGGGGATAGTCTAAATTAGAATTTTGAAGAACAGTCTAGGGCCGTAGTAGTCTTTGGGACTTGTCCAGCCTTAGTAGGTCTAGTAAGTCCGGATTCATTAAGAACTTCAAGTTCTGTCCCTTATTTTCTTCCTATTTATCATCAGGATTCATCTATAGTGTTTTTGACCGTAGTGTTCAGTAGTGGACACTTGGCACAGTCTAGGTTTTCTGGTCTTCAGGTGAAAGAGGCAGTGGTTCACGGAGACGATCAGCCCTGTAGTTCATTGCCTTCTGATTCCTGGGTTTCCAGATTTTTCTTTTATTCTAGATGACAAATGACAAATGGTTGTGTTTTAGATGGCCTTTCATAAACTTGTAAGACCCCAGATATTATCACTGTCCTGGGAGAGAGAATACAAACTTTATAAAACTCTATATGCCAGTTGATTTTCCCATGAGACCACTGTACAAGAGAACCTATGACCATTAAGTGATTGGTTACACCTAATTGGTTACACCTAATCACTCCCGGCATTTGCAGTTCCACTTCTCCTTTTGTGGTGTTGCTGTTTTTGCAAAACCACACATACCCTGACATTTATTAGGAAAAGTTTTCAATTAGCAATAATCACACTTCAGGTAGACTTTACTGGCTACTATATTGCCGCTGCGCAAAGCTGGTACCCTGGCATTTATAATGCACTTATATTTTTATTTTATTTTATTTTTTTTTTGGTTCTTACTTACCCAGTGTTCTTTATATGGGCATGCTATGATGAGCTGACTGTTGCATTCTGTGGTGAGCTGACTGGTGTCCTGTGTATGGTTTATGTCAGTCTTATGTAATTATCTTTGAAATACATAAGTGTTTTTAACTGTAATTCTGGCCACTTAATTTAGGCAGCAGAAATTACTATGTCTCAACAATTAAATTTAAGGAATTTTAAATGAAAGGTAAATTGTGTCATTGAAAGCCTTTAGATATTTTCATATTTGAGGTTTATTTTCCTTTTTTACAATAATACCTGTGTTCATTTGTGTTGTACACACAACTTTTTCCTAAAAAAACAAGGTTTTTATGTTCATTTTAACAACTTTACTTTTTATCCTGATGTTACATGCTTTGAAAAGATTGTCTTCTGTTTTCAAAAATTATTTGAAACCTTTAAGTACCTGTTGTAGGACTGATGTTGAGGTTTTTAAATGAAGTATTTTTTCCAAAGATATTTCAACTTTTAACAAAATCTCTTCCAGTATATATATTCCCTACAGAAAGATCAGCCCTCATTTTATTAATTTAGAAAGACTTGAGTTTAGTCCTTATAGCTAACAGGAGTATTCTATGTCACAGCTTAAGTATAAATGATTTATTTTGTCATTTTACTGCATTGGGTTCATTTATGACACTGGCAGTTAGTTTAACTTGTACTCCCTCTGTTGGCTGTCAGAGGTGTTGCAGTCCTTGGGGATGGTGCTAGCAATAACATTCTTGCTTATTTTCATTTAATTGAAAAATTAGCTATGATGCAAATGCAGTAAAGTAGACTACACGGAGATCATTTTAAAGTTATTAAGTGTTTTGTTGTTTTTTTTTATTAAGTGTTTTCAGTACCATCAGTGTCTGGTTTACTTGGGTGTGATAAGAAAACTTGATCAAAGCATCAAATGCTGGCGAGGTTGTGGAGAGACTGGAACCCTTATTCACTGTTAGTGGGAGTGTAAAATGGTGCAACCACTGTGGAAGGTGGTATGGCACTTTCTCAAAAAGTTGCAAATAGAGATACCATTTGACCCAGCAATTCCACTACTGGGAATATACCCCAAAGAGACCATAACTGACATCCAAGCACATATATGCACACCCATGTTTATTGGAGATTTGTTCACAATAGCAAGGAGTTGGAAACAACCTAATTGCCCATCAACAAATGAATGGATAGAGAAGTTGTGATATATTCACATAATGGAATACTATAATGCATTAAAAAACAAGGAACTCATGCAGTATTATTCAAAATGGGTGACTCTGGAGGACATTATGCTGAGTGAAGTATCCCAGTCACAAAAGGATAAATACTGCATGGTGCCACTGTTTTAAAACAGGACTGACCTTGGGGTTTGGGAGAGACTGAGAAAGATGGGTTCAATAATGTATACTGCACTGAAACAGATAAGGGAGAAAACTGTTTAAAAGAGATATGTGATTAGGTATTTTTGTCACGACAGGAGTCTAAAGCAAAGGCTGCATGGTGGAGTGGACCTGGGGGAGGGTTTGTAAAACAATGAAAGAATTTGTCTTTTACTTTTCCAAGAAGGTAGTGTTCTGGGGGGCAGGTTTGGGAGGGGAGAAATGTGCAACAGTGAATGAATGGATATCCAAAGTCTCTGTAAATTTTTACTGAAATTAGTAATAGGTTTAAATTTAAAAAAAATTTTTTTAAAATAGAAAACTTGATCAAGATCCCTGTTTAATCAACTTATGAAAACAAACATTGAAAACATTTAAGCATATAGAATTTTTGTGTTTGTAATAATCAGAAAGTGGGCTTGGCATGTTAGAGAAATTATAGTATTTTCAAATAGTTTCTATTTGTTGTAATTTATGGATGATTGCAGTAGAATGATGGAATGAAATGACAGAGATGACTTATTGCACCAGATTTAGTTTGTCTTCTAGCTTAATGTTTGTGTCTGCCTGTGACTTTGAAATGTCATAATAGCTGCTACCATTTATGCCACATCTACAGGGTATCTGGAATATTTCTTAGCATCCTCTTGCAAAATGCACTAGTTATTAGAACCTGAATTAAATAAATAGGTCATATCTCTTGTGATTAAAGATCATGTCTTTGTCTTCTTGGTAAAGTGAATTTGCATCTCAAACTCTGCAGAGGCAGAACAGACACTAGGTTCTAAAGTCAGCAAAAATCCCACTGCTACCCGTTGATGACAACTCATAGTGTGACTTCTATCTAGTTTCAGAGGCTGTAAATCTTTATGGGAGGAGACTGCCCATCTTTACCTCATGGAGCAGCTGGATTGGAGTCATTGACCTTTTGGTAAGCAGTGAAACCTGTAATGCACTACACCATCAGAGTGCCAAAGTCAGCTTCTTAGGTGGATAATGTGTGTATGGAGTTTTTGGTTAACTCCCTAGACTTCCTGCATTATCAGAGAAGTTATGTTTAGTTACTGTTGTTTATGAAACAAGCCAAAAGTTTTAATACTTGATTTACATTAATCATAGTGAGAAGTGTGTGGCAACTAGGAAGGGCTGAGGGAACTAACAGATTCAGGCCTCTCATCTCATTGCCTTTTTAGAACAACTCTTGTTGAAGAGAATGGCAGGCAGGTTTGAATCTACGTGTAGTCCCCAACTTGTCAGTAAATGTAATAAATGTCACCTTTGTCGCCAGTCCATGAAGGAGCCCTGGTGATCCACTGGCAGTCAATCATCTGAAACCGCTGACTGCAGCCTGTTCCATTACGGATGTGCAGCATGTGGGGCAGTTCTGTTTTATCCTGCAAGACCCCAAAGAGCTAGACCCAACTCAGTGGCAATGGATTCGGTCCTTTTAAATTCATGTCATGCACTAAATATTACTAATGATAAAAGATGTATTTTTGAAAGCCAACACAATCTTAAGTGGAGTTTGTCATACTTACTCTGGATTTGCTGTGATGCTGAACCTTGTGCCATTGGGGGGAGGGCAACAAATGCTATAATGGCTGCCCATGGTGGACAGTGTTTGGTGGAGCTCCCAATTTAAGATAGGTTTGGAAGCAGGAGTGGCATCCACTTCCTAAACCACATATTCTGGAAACTCTGTGAACTTGGAGAAATGATGGTAGTTATACAAAGGCTTCAGGTCTTTTGTTCATAGGGTCGCTATAAGTTGTGCTCAGCTTGACAGCAATCAACAACAGCAACACCAGTACCCTTTTTGAGCTCTGGCTGCCTAGTGGCAAGAGGCTGTGCTGCAATCCCGAAGGCTCGTGGTTCCAGGCCACAGGAGAAGAATGGGCACTCTCCTCCCATGTGATTAACTGCCTCTTAAAACGGGCCAGAAGGCCAGCTGTGGCTTGATTCCCACTCTGGTACACAACAATAACAACAGTATTCTTTATGAATTTGACTCTTAATCAAGCAGATAACAGAAATGTTACATTTTAAAGATCTTGCCAGTCCAGTGAGGTAGATAAACATGTTGTATTGATGAAAAACATCTGCCATTTCTGTGTATTGATTTTGTGTGTTTTTATACAGGTTGCCTTCCTGTTGCATCTTGGAAATAATCTCCTAGACTGCTCCATGATTTAATTCAGTTCTGAAATGAAGATGGAGGAGGCAGTGGGAAAAGTCGAAGAACTCATTGAGTCTGAAGTCCCACCCAAAACATCTGAGCAAGAGACAGCCAAGGAGGAAGATGGGTCTGTAGAACTGGAGCCTCAAGGTCAGAAAGATGGCGTTGCAGATTCTACAGTTCTTTCTTCAATGCCTTGCTTGTTAATGGAACTGAGAAGGGACTCTTCTGAGTCTCAGTTAGCATCCACTGAGAGTGACAAACCGACAACGGGCCGAGTTTATGAGAGTGACTCCTCCAACCACTGCATGCTTTCCCCCTCCTCGAGTGGCCACCTGGCCGACTCGGATACACTGTCTTCTGCAGAAGAGAACGAACCCTCCCAGGCAGAAACGGCAGTAGAGGGAGACCCTTCTGGAGTGCCTGGTGCCACCATTGGGCGCAAGTCTAGACGATCCCGATCTGAAAGTGAAACATCCACCATGGCTGCCAAGAAAAACCGGCAATCCAGTGATAAACAGAACGGCCGCGTTGCCAAGGTGAAAGGTCATCGGAGCCAAAAGCACAAAGAAAGAATCAGGCTGCTGCGACAGAAGCGAGAGGCTGCCGCGAGAAAGAAGTACAACGTGCTGCAGGACAGCAGCACCAGCGATAGTGACCTGACTTGTGACTCAAGCACCAGCTCGTCAGATGATGATGAAGAGGTTTCAGGGAGCAGCAAGACAATCACTGCAGAGATACCAGGTAGAGGATGTTTTTTAAACTGACTGTAAAGCACCTGATGGCATTTCTCAGCTGTCAGGCTCAGTTAGATGAGTGACACGTGAGAAAATCCAGGAGACCTGCAGCTCTGTGTAAATTTGAAGACTGCAGTCTATTAACAAGACACAGCCAATTAAAAAAACCCTTCTGAGGTTTCCAGTGCACTTTAGCACATCTGCAAAAAAAATACTTCAGTGGTTAATGATAGGGACAAGATTATTTTTAAGTGATGGAATTTCTCCCAACTTATTCTCTGTAACACATTACCTGAACTCCCATCATTGCCTTCTTAGCACCGCGTAGGTTGAATACTCACTGTTGAGCACTATTACTATGTTCTCCTCAGGAATAGGCACCTTGCTTTATTATCGAGTCACTGCACTGAGCTTTTGGTGTCTGAAATATGTTCTGTCTTTTGTTTAAGTTTTCCAGTAACTTCTGTTCCTCCTACAGCACTAGTTCACTGTTTTTCATTTCTCTGAAACAGTGCATGATAAGCTAGTTAGCTGTGTTGCACATTTTTCTATACTGAGTTGTCACTTGTATTGAAAAGATGCTTTTGCAAAACTTTACTCTTAATTCACCCCTAAGCTACACAAAGTGTGTTAGAAATATGCTCGTTCTAGATTCCATTGGTATAAGGGTCTGCTTTTCAGTAATGTTTGAAGTATCTGCTTCTGTGTGCTATAAAGGCAGCCTTGCGATGTCATAGTACAAGACAAATGAGGTTTAAATGATCTGTAAGGGGTGAATTCTCATCTTTGAAGAGATTTATAATATGATTGGTAATTTCTGTAAACTATGGCATTTAATAGATCTTATTAGCATTGTGTCATGCCATATTGAAGAGGAGATTTTGATTTTCCAGAGTTTTATGGGTAACTTTTTTCTTCTGAGTTTTCTGAAAGATCTCTATATGTGAAGGCAGCATATTGCTGATATATAAAGAATATTTCAAGAAAAATCATATTGGTTCGTGAAACCTATATATAAAAACTTACCTAAATGCGGTATTAAGAATGATTGGTTGTAAAGCACTTTATAGGTTTTGAACTGATAATAAAGTCTCATCTATAGAATATAGTAAATAAGAGGTTTTACAATCTTAGAAATGCTTTTAGCTATTGAATTCCTTTGGTAGCTCACCTTTGACATGTCTTCACATTGAAATTATTAGGAAGGAAGATTAAGTGAAGCTTACCAGCTGCATGTATGGAACAGTAGACTTTAGTGTTATTTGAATGCAGGTCCTAAGCATATTTGAGTTTTACATTTAATAGTATTTTCAAGAAAGCCTTGTTAGCATCTGTAAAATTACTGTTCATGCAGTGTTATATCCTGTTCTAATTTCAGTCAAGACAGTGGTGGATTTCTAATACAGTACTTACTTCCATTCACTAAGCAGGTGTTAAATGACTATCCAAATGTTTCTTTCCTATTAAAGAAAAGGGAGGAGGTGGGTAAACATATTTTCTTTGAAGATCTACCCTATGATAGAGGTAGGATGAAAAATGACTTTACAGTTACTCTCCCTCTTTGACTTGCATAGGTCATGTATGTTTTATTCATATTTTCCTTACTTTTTTTGCTGTCTTGACCATTGTTTAAGACTTATGGAACTATAATGGTCTCTTCCTTTTTATTTCCGGATTGTATACTAACAAAAACATTAAAGAAATTTAGTTTCTTTTTGGTTACACCATTTTTTGTGAGCTGTGGCTTTTGAAAATTTACATAGAGTTTCTTAAAAAACTCATGGAGAAGCAAATGGTAGGTAAAATCATGTGACTTGGTTACCTAGGCTGTGTACTTACCCAGTTTTATGAGGTGCCTTGCACATAAAACAAAGTATAAATACTCCTTCTGTGTATTATGCAAAGCAGTTTTAAAATGAAACAACCTAGAGTTTAAATACAAAGCAATTGATTTCACCTTTTAGTCTTCCTTTCTTAACTGTCAGACTCAGAATCACATAGGTCAGAATATATGAATAACCCCATCATATTAGAATTTTGGAAAGGGAGACACATACCTAGACTTACAGCTGTGGCAGTTATTGATGTGAAAAGGCAACATTATGAACTTAAGACTTTAGTGCAACAATGTGGACAATTCAGGTGGAGCTTCAGATGATGTGCTAACAGAGAATCTTGTGGATGCCAGATTTTAACACACTTCTTTATACAGGATGGAAACCAAGAGGGAAAAGAAAAGGTTTCATTAAGGTATAACTTGGCTTAATCATGTAAATGTAATAATACAAAAAGTGCTTGTTGTTTGTTTGCTTTTTTTACAGCAGTTCAAAAGTTGAAGCAATTAAATGCCATCTTATATAAAAGAATTTAACACCCAATGTGTTTTCCTTTGAAGAGTGCAGATAATGAAAGCAGGCTTTTAGTGCATGATCATACTTAATTGAGTTTGTTATCTGGGAAGACACTCATGATGATAACGGTGTTTTCTGTTTGGTTTGTGGTTACTGGTAGGTTGGTATCAGCATGAATTATTCTGTCTGCTTGGTGGTTTTTGAAGTACATAGGTGTTTTAAGAACCTATTTGGAGGTATTGTATTCGTTTAATTCTGGATGTACTTTGATTTGCAGGCCTTAGGGATGATAAGAGAATTTTGTAGTCAGTATTAATGAAAAATACTATGTAGTGGTTATCTTGATTGTTGAAGGCTTTTATCAGGTATGTAATTTATCTTTGTAGATTATCCTTTTGTGCTTTTTCTCTGAACTAGAGCCTTACTTCTTACAGGGGAGTTGGTATCTTTGAGAAATCACCTTTGAAACTAGGTCTATAAAAGTCTGTTCTTGAGGGGATTTTGGTTTTTGGTTACTCTAAATAATTGGCATCAGACTTAATTCACTATGTCAGTTTTCTGAACAGACTACTGTTAGGTGTACAGTATACCTGAGCAGTAGGTCAAGTTTGTCCAGTAACATTTGTTTTAAAAAAATTTTACTTAGCATAAGGTAAACTCAGTGTGGCTTGATCTTGTCATGGCTGCAATGGTCTTTTGTGTAGTTTAGTAATTCAGTATCTAAGACCTACTCAGACTGGGATTTCAAAAACAGACGCTAAAAACAAACCCCGTCTCCTAAGGTCAGTTGTCTTGGTTGGTATGTTTTGGAGAGTGTTAAGGAGGCTGTTGAAAACAACTTTCTAAGATCACCTGGATTTTCATCCCCTTTGACCAGTCCAGTCTAGCCTTGCCAGGACCCTAACACCAGGCTCTCACATCCATTACTTACCATCCATGCCATTGCACTGAAATGCACCATGAAGAGCTTTCTTAGCTCAGTTCTCCTGAGGTTAGAGGATCATTTAATTTTAACTTGGAAATTTGGGGAGGGTTGGGAGAAGAAAGATATTTTAAAGTAGTAAATCATTTGTAGAAATTTTGGGAAAATAGAAACATGTGTAGTAGAAGATTCAAGTCACCCATAAAAGTAATTCAACTTTTGTTTACATTTGAATATGTTACCTTCCATTATATATAATAAAATATCATATAAATGGGTTTTTTTAGCCCGTTCTCTTTTAACATGGTATTTTACCTAAAATATTAAATATCCTCTCACAAGAGAATGGATTCTGAGTAATACAGCTAACTACAAAATAACTTCTCTAATGTTGGTTCTTTTGGTTTTTAGTTTTTGCAGTTATGCATCAGGGTATGTAAGGCTCTTGGCACATACTGTCAAACTGCATTAAAAATATATATTTATTTCATCTGGGAACTTGCAGTGTTCATTACATTATATTCCTGCCATGAGTATATATTAAAAAAATTTAAGTTTGGCTTGATGGAAGAATTGTATTGTGGTGACACTTTCATTGATTTTTAGCGAGGTTGAAAAATCACACTTGGTCGTTTGTATTTAATGTTTCACTTTTTGAGGGGCATTCTAGGTACAGTCTTCACATTTGTTTTTCTTACTGATTTGGGAGAGGTGTTTTTATCTTTCCAAAGACTTAATTGCTAAGAAAATTTTAATACTAATTTAAGCAGTGGAGAGACATGGTAGAAGACCCCCAAACCACTTGGGAAGTCTTTTAAAGCACAGTGTTTGACATTTTCCCTACATTAAATACGATGTGGTTCATTTAGCAAATAGCCCTGACTGCCCATTTTGATCTTTTTTTACATGTAGCTATTGACACTTGCTGAGTACACCGATAATAAAGCACTGAGACTTGGGAGAATAGCTGAGCTGCCTGTTTTCGGTTTAATAAATGCAAAGCAACATAACAGGCATCATGTTCTAAACAGTAGAGGTTTAGCATTTTGAAATCTTAAGACACAATTCTATATTAATAAGCATGAGCACTTCTTTTCTTCTATTGCACTTAAGTGTTTTTGTTTTTTTAAAAAATTTATTATTTTTCCTGTGTGTACTGTCAAATCGGATCAGACTGATACAGGAGGAGATTGTCACTCCTTTTCCAACAGAGCATCTGGTGGATTCAAACTGCATACCTCTGGGATTGCAGTAGAGCTTCTTGCCACTAGGCCACCAGAGAGCCCTTTAAATGATTGTTTTAAAGTGTGTGCTGTTCAAATGTGGTTTTTATGTTAGGATGCCTGGCTAGTGTTACTTTAGATGGTCCAACTGTAGTGTATCCTTTGGCACTCTGTAATCTTAAAGCACCAAAGGAGTAATTTTTTTTCTTTCTTGTTCCTAACTTATTTCCTCAAATGAATGTGTGAATGTGTACGTTAACTACTTAGTAAACGCAAAAGCATAAGCTTTGTCTTTGATCTTTTTTTCAATATAGAATATAACTTAATATTACTAGAAGGGTTTCAGTACATTCATGCATGAATGTGGTCACTGATTTAAGGCCCTAAAACATCTTAAGTGTGTATTATTGGCAATCATTATGAAGCAGCTTCTTGTCTCACTAACCCCAGTTACATTGTTCTTACATTGTTTTCTGAATTCAGCTTTAAAATACTAATTTTTAACCAGCTC